CTCTCTCTCTCTCTCTCTCTCTCTCTCTCTCTCTCTCTCTCTCTCTCTCTCTCTCTCTCTTTCTCTCTCTGTCTCTCTCTCTCTTTGTGTGTGTGTGTGTGTTGAGATACTTTTCAGTGTAACCTGTATTGTGGAGGGAAGTGTTTCATCATACCATGTGTGTGATGGGTAGTCTGCAGTATAGAGCTTGTCAATCTTACAATAATGATCTCATGAGTTAGAACATCAGGTTTGTATAATGTTCAGTCTTGGCATATTTAGAAGTTCTCTTCTGGAGGAACTCAATGTCAAATAATGGCTTTTAAGTCCTTTGTGCACTTGCTTTTTGAAATTCGTTGTATTTTATTATTTTCTATATTTGTTTTTCTATCAAGATTACTTCATTCATTTTCTGCTAGATATAACTGAATTGATTTTGAGTGGGACTTTATTTTATGTCATTTTGAAACTGTCCAAAAGAAATTATATTCTTGGTCTTTGAATTACTAGTAATTTCTATCATTTTGTTTTGGTTTATGATTTTTCTTGAGTGAACATGATAGTTTCCATTGTTGGTAATATGGCAGTAGACATCCTTGTGCTACCATAGGCTTTTCCTTTTCTTTCTAAAGGAGTATGAGCATAGGCTTTCTTTCTCATTTAAACAGTCTCCCTTTTAAAACGTCCGAGAACTCCTCCAAATGCTCTAGGTATGGTTGATTATCAAGCTGCTGACTCTGAACAAATTATGAAGCGTTTGCGCTCTGCTGCACAACCTGTTGAGGAGGTGAGACCAGTTTATTGACTTCATTATATTTGCATATAAATATTGTAAATAAAAGGGACCTTAGTTTCCACTGTCCAACCATACTCCATTGGATTCTAGTGTTGTTCCCCATGTATAAATTATTACATATGTCCACATGCCCGACTATGGCATTTGTTAGTTATTTTGTCTATTCTTGCTGATGCTGGAATCTTTTTCTTTCATTCTTATAGTTACTTTGGGTTTCTGTTATATTCAGGTGACCTTTCCAGCACCACTTTCGCAGGCATCTTGGTCGTTGGAAGACCTACCGAGGACGGTAGCTCGGACTCTTAATCAGGGGAGCAGTGTAACAAGCATGGATTTCCATCCTTCACATCAAACACTCCTTCTCGGTAAGGGGATTCTTTTAATTTTGACATCTTATTCTATTTTACTTCCCATCCTCCCCACCCCGGCGCCCCCGGGAAGAATTCGGTATAGATGGTTCCTTTTAGTGAACTTAAGTCAATCCAGACCCAGACAATGAATAATTAGACTGGGAAGATAATTGAATTTGTAACTCTGTATTGTTTTGGATCAGTTGGTTCCAACAATGGGGAAATTACACTTTGGGAGGTTGCTTCTCGTGAGAGATTGTTATCAAGGCCATTCAAGATATGGGAAATGACAACATGCTCCTTGCCTCCGCAGGTTGTTATGAACATCTTCATCATAACTATTGGTACTCTGCAATCTTTTATTTATTTATTTATTTAGTGCGTGTGTGGGTGTGTGCGAAGGGAGATTTGACACGTGGTATATGAGCTGCCTTCACCCATATATTGTTTTTTTTTTTTGTAAAAATATTTTCTACTAATATATGGTCACCATTTCTTCAAACACCCATGCTACAATTTTTGTAGATGTGCCCTACTACTCAACCCTGTGAACCAACCCCACCCCCCACAATACCAACCACCTCCACGCCCTCTTTTTTCTTCTTTTCTCCCTCACTGGAAAGAGAAAAAAAAAGGGGGGGGGTAGAGAGAGAGAGAGAATTACATCTTGATACCGTCTAAATGCCTAAAAAGTCCAGCCCCAATAGTGAACATAGTATCATCTATTTCTTGGACCGTCAGATATGGGGACTTTCTTTTTTCCTTTTTCTATGTTTAATTCAGCTGGTGATGATAAGGCAATATACAAAATTTGGGTCAAACAAATCCCTATTGGGCCTTGGTTTAACACCTTTGGTTAGAAATAGATGGCCCACATTTACTACAATTTGCCTCTTCTAAAAAAGAAAAAAGCTTTAGTTTATCCTTTTCAGTTGTTTTAGAGTGCATGTGCACTTCCCTTAAGTCCCAAAAAATGATGTGAGGTGGACACTATAGCGGTCTTCAAATCATTTCCCTATAAAATTTCCGCCCTCCATAGAGAGCAATCTGTGTATGCTTTTGGGGCAGTTTTTATTAGGAACTTTTAGCATGCGTATTAAACTTCTTTTTTTTTTGCCTTTGGCTTTGGCCCTAGGATGAGTAGGGCCTTTCTCCAAAATTTGATTTGGTCATACTCTAGGGGTCTGCCCTTGGCGGACACACACACCCCCCAACCCACCCACCCACCCACCATTAATATCAAAATAAGTCCATCCAGCAAATCTTGGATTGTATAGAGGGCTGTCCTTTTTTTTTGGTTTTCACATGCACACTTCACATCTTCGGTTAGCAGTTCTCATTAACTAATTTTTGGTGGTGTTTTATGTGATGAGTGTTTATTAAGTGTCTGAAGGAATGTATGCTCTAATGCTTGTGTATATGGTATGTATGCTGAGATGGTAGTTTTCAGCATATGGATTGCATGTGACCGGTTTCTCCACAACTTAAAGAATAAAAAGTTCTGCATATTGGCAGTTAATCTGGAAGCATGGAATGTAAGGCTTTTTAAAATATCTGAAGGCCCTGTCTTATTGCATATCACCCATACCCTTCAACTTTTTCGTATGACTAGTGGATTGTGTTATTGGACACTCCTATCTATCTTCATATACAAAGTCTTGAGCACATCTATCCTATCTTATGTTCCTCTCCTGCTTAGTGACCCATCCTTTACTAATTATTAGTTTCTGATTAAATATATACTCTCGGGCAAATTTGTTATACGAATGTGTTAATTCATTTTTGTTGAGGTAGCATATCTTATTCGACTATTTTGTTGTATTTCATTCTTGCATATTACATACTGTGATTAGAGTGTATAGTTTTATTGAAATTGCCGTCCTTAGATTCACATCCCTGTTATGCATTTAGCAGGTATCGTTTGACTGTAGATAAGAATAGGCATATTGTGCTTATTGACTGTTTTTTAAATGATCATATGCACATTATTCTTGTGTTCTTGAAGCTGTTACTCTACAAATTCTTGGTTTTGTTGAACTTTACAGGCCGCTGTAGTCAAAGATACTTCAATATCCATTAATCGAGTAACTTGGAGTCCAGATGGATGTTTCATGGGTTCGTGTCCTATATCCAGTTTTCTAACTTGATCTAAAACTCGTTTGAAAACTAATGTGCATCTTTACTTGTGAAATGTTGCCTGTTTGCAGGGGTTGCATTTACAAAACACTTGGTTCACCTGTATGCTTATCATGGTCCAAGTGATCTGCGCCAGCATCTAGAGGTTTGTCACAAACTTTTGCTTGTCTCAGATGGAGACAATCTGAAATTTGAATGTTGTTCTTTCTTTTTGGCAGATTGAGGCTCATGTTGGTGGAGTCAATGACTTGGCATTTTCTCATCCAAACAAACAACTTTGTGTAGTGACCTGCGGTGATGACAAGTTGATAAAGGTCAGTCTGTGGAAAACTAACATCCCCATTACTATTAATAATTTGCTTCTATTATTGGGCCCCAGTGTCTCTTACTAGGTGTGTAATACTTGGTATTGCAGGTCTGGGATTTAAATGGTCGAAAGCTTTATACCTTTGAAGGACACGAGGCTCCTGTGTACTCTGTTTGTCCTCATCATAAAGAGAACATTCAGGTATTCTTTGTAGTAGATTTTTTTTTTTTTTCTACATATGTTATTTGTAAATGTAGGATTTAGAATATAACATGTGCATAAACCCTATTGGGATTTTCTAAGTGAACGTGATGTACTTATAGAACGTTGCTTTTGAGGTTTTCCTTCAAACTTATTTACTTTCTGTTTATTTGCATTTGGTCCATGATTTAGTTATCAAAATTTACAACTTGTTCGCACAAGAAGGCATACATTGCTTCTTGAGGGTTGTCATGTAAATTTAATCATAACAACAGGGAGAGATCTGTTTAAAAAAAGAGGAGAAAAAAGCATGAGGGGGACAAAAAGAAATTGTCTATTGTTTCTCTTTCTACTAGTCTCTTTCTATTTTTTTCTCCTTACCTATTGTAATTGCAGCCTTATTTTGAGGGTGTATGATATATTTTCCTGTAATAAATTCATTGCCCATCAAAATAAATTATGAGCTCAACTGTAATCCACCTTACGAAGCTTTGTCCTCAAATGAAACCCAGGAGTAAAATCAATAAAACCATACTAATGACAGCTCCATGGAGTGGGTTAAGTTTTGGTATCTGCACCCCAATATCATATAATACCATGTTATTAAAAGTATAATGGTTGATAAAATTTAATATTGCATCGAGCAAACCATTCGATGTAGGATCAACGGGGCATATCTCTTACGCAAGTATGACGCAAACGGTGGGTGTAACTCAAGTGGTGGGTGTATGATTGGAAGTTTTACTTAGGTTCGGATTTAGGACTTCTAAAGCATTTGTGGCTCCTACAAAGATTAGGGCAAGATAGCTTTATAAGTATTGAGCTATCCTATTGACTATGAGTGGATGATAGGAGGCCTAAAAAGAGTAGGAGTTACAAGTAGGAGTGGATGATGTGGCTCCAAAAAGGATTTGGTATGAGTAGGGCAATAATTAGGGTTTGGTTTAAGGATTTTAAGGAAGGGGTATGTTGCTGGTCCACCAAGATAGGAGGATGATGATATGGATTCTAAGGTTGAATTGGGGAAAACTAGGGTTTACACTTAAGCTTGAAGGCTACTGGGTTGGTAGCTGTTGAGCTGATTTACTTAGAGTTTGGAGAGGCATGCCTAAGGGGTTTATGGTGAGGCTTGAACTGGTGATGATTTAGTTGTTGAGGAATCTTAGATGGGGGTGTGCCATGCAATAGGGGACCCAAGCTCAAGTGGGTAGAATATCCGAATCACAAGCTAGGGTTTAAGGAAATCTCTCCACCCAAAGAAGAGGATGGGCTCTAACTTTTGACAAGAGACCCTCAAACCCATGCTAGATTTTAAGAATCACTCTCTCGATACAAGGAATTCAGCAATCGCTCTTCTAAAGTTGAACTCTCACCACAATTGGAAACCCATATTTTATTGGAAAACAGTGCAATTAGACCATTTACTTTTACTACAAGGTCACAATGTCCCTTAGCTGCTAGATGTGAAATTAAGTGGTCATGGTGTGCTATTGATAGCTCTCAAAATGCATCAACTTGCTTTCAGACTCTGTAATATATCCTTAGCTGTTTGATTCCACATTTGACGACGAAGGGTGATTGTGACCTTCGAAGACAAAAAATAAGTGGTCTTATAGTATGTGATTCCTATTTTATTACAGCCATAGGGGTACAAGGGTTTGGAGAAGTTTGATTCCATCATTATTTGAGTTAGCTTGGGACTCGAGCTATATCTACTTCAACTTTATACTCCTCTAGATTCTTTCAAAATCAGGTGACTAACTCCTTCATAGTTTTAGAAACTATACCTTATGAAACGTGGATGTACTCTTAAATAAAATAAGGAAACTAATTTAACTTTCAAAACAAGGAAAGAAACAAGTTTAGGAAACTTGCTTGGGTCAAGACGGTAGAGGCCAGGATTTCATAGCCCAACGTCTCTAGATCCATTCCTATGTAACCTTGTCTAAAGAAAAAAAAAAACAAGGAAAGAAACAATTTACCAAAACTATTGAGGCTTGCAATTGTATAATCTTTTTGATCTTTAGCCTAGGGTTTCTAGGACTCATGGAACAAAGAAAACCTAGTACATTAAGGAAGATTGAATTTGTCATTGGTTTTTCTGGCATGCTTTCATCCATGATTAAAGTGCGAAACCTTTCAATACAAGAACCGAAAGTGATAAGGCTCGTAGATCTCAAAGAGATCTTCGATTTAGCTTTGGATGACCCAAAACCAACATCCGACTGAAAAGTTATGCCTTCAGGAAGCAGGCATGAAGGAAGAGGTTTGCATTACCATGTGAATAGGCATCTGGACCTAGCACGATGTTCTGCCTTAGATTATGATTTGGCTCAATATTTTCCTTCTGCAAAATCTTAGTTATTATTTCTTGCTTTACCTGGAAACAAGTGAATCTTCCTATAATATCTCATAGCCAGGTGTAGATCGCCTTAGTATCCTGACATCTTGCCCAATTTGAATGTGTAAGCTACGAAATGAAGATCTAATGAGTACATAGTGAGGTTTCATGTTGGTACGGATTAAATATCTCTAATCATGCGATGGACAACAATCAAATGAGACTAGGTGAGATTGTACAAACCAGTGTTTGAAGAAATGCCGATATGGAATGGGAATTGACTGGTGGGTGGACGAACCAGCCAACCAGGTCCCCCAATCGCTGAATACTATTTTTATTTTTTTTACTGATTTTCATTGGTTTTGACCAATCCAAATTGGTATAGTGGAGGCCAATCCACCGAGACAATCCAGATTTAAAACACTGGTACAAACTCATTTACTAACTATAAGCTGAATCTTAAATATCTGGCCTGCAGTTAGTGAAATAAGAAATTCATAAAATCAAAGCATATTTGCATAAATGGATGAAGAAGAACTGGAGAAGCTCTGCATCCTTAACTGAATGCTTAACATTGGCTTTTAAGATGTCTCCATGAGCTTTCTACTAGCTAGATGAACCCCTGATGTGATCTAGATGCATGCATATCCATTGACGGATGGTGGTTCCTGATCGGGTTATCTCAGCATACAATATATGTGCCACAGCTCATCTCAAGGATCACCAATAAATTCTTGAAATGATACAACCCCTAAGTGGCCATATATGCCATGTTCTTTGAAGAGAATAGGGTCCAAGCTGGCTGACAATGACAGAAATTCGGTGGCTGCTTGGTTCCTTGACATGTCATTGATCAGATCTGCTAAGAAATCCTGGCACCATTCTTGCCCAAACACCCATAAACCTTGATGCGTTTGTCTTTTGTCTAGCTTAGTGGACTGGAAATACTCTTGACTAAAGTCTATAACAAAACCATCTATCCTGCCAGAAGTTTGGCTTGTGTCGCATTAGTGATAAGGAATCAAAGTGGTCCTTGATCATTGAACTTTCTAACCATCAAACATCAACCCTTATTCCTCCAATTTCCCTAGCATGGACTCTTCTGCCACATACTTGCCCAATCATTATGATTGTCATAAATTACAAAGATCACTTCATCTTTATGCAATTTCTATGCATCTTGATGTATGTTTTGTTTTTGTAGCAGATGAGATTTTGATTGGTTAAGAAATTAAATTACCAAAATGAAAGGAAAAAATTATATGCATATATGACTTGCTTTTACGTGCAAACAAGCATTCTTTTGAACTTTTTAAATTTTGTGCCTCACCTATTCTCTCTTGAGCATAGTTCAACACAAGATTTATGGCTCTATGCACTTAATTTAACAAGCTTTTGGAAGTTCTATCTTAGATGATCACTACTGAGATTTTGATGTGGATGTGTCTTTTGGAAGTTACTCAATTTTGCGAACTTGAGGTTGTGGTTTGCGCCCTACTAAACACCCCCCACAAAGTAATATTCTCATGTACTTGAAACTTGAAATTTTAAGGCGACCTTGTAGACTACAGGCATTTTAATCAGGCCCCTTATCTTCACTGTCATGGTTACAGGTTACGATAACTACATCATCTGGTAAGTTCCCATATATAAAGTACTTAGTTGAGGAAATTAATCTGAAACAGTAGCGAGATCGACCTATTGAACATCTGTGAATTTAATTCAAGGAAATCACGCAAATAGAATCTTGGCCCTTTGCTTCATTCTCTCACGAAGCTTCTTCAAGTCTCCTTGAATACTCCGGGGTTTTCAAGGACAATGTGAACACTACCTAAACCTATGTCATTGTTATGATATTATCACGCCTTTGCAAAAGTTGTTAGTGTCTGACAATATGTAAGCAAAAAAAGGAATATAAATCCTAACTATTCTTTAGATGAATTTTTCAATGACGATGTAAAGACTACCTAAACCTATGTCATTGTTATGATATTGTCATGCCTTTGCGAAAAGTTGTTAGTATCTGACTATATGTATGCTGAAAAAGGAATATAAATCTTGACTGTACTTTAGATGACATTTTTCTGTTGATATGATGATATTTTGTGGTTTGGCATTGCAACTTTGCAGTTCATTTTTTCGACTGCTTTTGATGGGAAAATTAAGGCTTGGCTATATGACAACAATGGGTCCAGAGTGGACTATGATGCTCCCGGACATTGTTGCACAACTATGTTGTATAGTGCTGATGGAAGCAGGTATGTCAAATGCTACTATCAAGACAATGTTATCTTTTAATGGGTGAGCAAAATATTTATTTTGATGAAGTTAACAATAATTGAGTTTAAAACTAAGCACATTTTTTTGCTCTTCTTATGACGTAGGTTATTTTCCTGTGGAACAAACAAAGATGGAGAGTCTTTTTTGGTGGAATGGAATGAAAGTGAAGGAGCAATCAAACGGTCATACGTGGGGTTTAGAAAGAAGTCAGCAAGTGTGGTGCAATTTGACACAACACAGAATCACTTTCTGGCTGTAGGTGAGGACAACCAGATAAAATTTTGGGATATGGACAGTACAAATATTGTAGCGACTGTAGATGCTGAAGGTGGTCTCCCGGTGGGTGCTTTGTGATTCACTTTTTTTATTTTTGATGCCTCTCTTTTTGGCACTCAATATCCTTAATAATTGGAGTTTTTGTGTTTTCTGTATTGGCTTTAGAGTCTCCCTCGCTTGAGATTCAACAAAGAAGGAAATCTTCTTGCTGTGACTACGGCAGACAATGGATTCAAAATTCTCGCCAATGCTGATGGTTTGAGGTCTTTGAGAGCCATGGAAAGTCGATCATTTGAAGCACAAAGGGTGTCCATTGAATCAGCTGCACCCAAGGTATCCTTCATAAATTATCCTTGCTATTGAAGATCTATTTTGTCTCAAGACGCTTTTAGACTGCTTTGAGTTTTAGTGGTGGCGCGGTCTCGTGTGGTCCACATTCTGGCAGTCCACCTGGTGCTGCGTCCACAGAACAAAACAAAAAACCCAGCACGCAAAGTGTCAAGGAGAAAAGGAATGGCCTTTAGGCCTGGCTAGTTAGGGTCACGAGGTGCCACAACCTGACATGTAGAGTTCCATTCCTACAAAGGTCCCAAGTTAACATTGAAAAAACTAAAATAAAAAGAATGGTTTGCTTCTCTCTCTTTCTTTCTCAAAAGGAAAGGTCTTGAGGTTGCTCACAAAACCATTTTTGTGCATCTCATTTATTGTCATGTGTTTTTAGGTGTCTGGTGCATCTATGGTTTCTACCATCACTCCAGCTGTGAGCCGAGTTGATCGCTTGGATAGAAGCTCCCCGGTGCGACCCATTGCTTTGATGGTAAGTTGGATCCACAGGGAATTATGGTATAGTTTTTCTATTTTGGAACACTAAATAGAATAACAACCATGTGTGTTGCCTATCGAAAAAGCAAAATGAATCATGCTTGTGCGTACTTGTAAGTTGTAACCCTAAATGTGTTATGCTGATAGTGTTTGGAGACTTTCTCAAATAAATATTTGACATAATTAGTAGTCGGCGTGTGACTTTCCGACAAACTTCGAGTGGGGAATGTGGAGGCTTAAGAGGGAGTGGGGAAGAGATCATGCAATTACAAAGTTACAGTCTAGTTTGTATGTTGATGTCTCATTTTCTGCTGGAGTATCTCATTTTTGGTGAAGAATATACATGCATGCCTAATAATTTGTGTTCTGCTGATATTTCAAAGAAATATGACATTTATAGTGCTCTTAGTGAGTGAGGGGAAGGTGGAGTTAGGAACCAGAACCTTGAGTTACAAATTTCTAGTCTAGTCGATACAGCTGATGTCCCATTATATGCCATTTTATACAAGGATCTCTCTTTTTCTGTGTGGAACATACATGTATACGAGGATATCTCATTTTCAAAAACATATATGTATACTAAAATTTATCAATGAAATGAACCATCGAAAAAGAAAAGTTGCGATACATTTTCGATTGGGAATGTATAATTTTATGCTATAGTCTAATGGACTATGGCGAAACAACGTCCACTATGTCCTTGGTTTCCAATAAAATGGTGGAGGATGATGGGGGTGAAGAGTGGCCCATCCCGTGTTCCATGTCATGTTCTGGACTCTGGAGGGTCCCACTATCTCCCTATCACCATCACCTATCATTCCTTTGGGCAGTAATGATCTGATTGGATGAAGGTTTTCCATACTTCATTGAAATATAGTGTACTTTCCCTTATGATTTTCTTGAGATTAGATTTGTCCGTGATGGTACTGTGTCTGTGCATTTTGGGCTTGTGTCTTGCATTTAGATCCATAATTTGAATGGAAACTGGATTTCCTCATTATACAAATACATATATGGAGCATCATCAAACCAAACTGCCCTAGAACGAGACTATGGAGTACAGTTCCGGTCTCATTTTTTTTTCCACCTGTTAATGTGAATTTTGCAGAATGGAGTTGATCCATCTGCAAGAAGTACAGATAAGCCGAGGGTGTTGGATGATATTCCTGAGAAAGCCAAACCCTGGGAGTTAACTGAAATTTTGGATCCAATTCTATGTCGAGTTGTAACCATGCCAGACAGCACGGATCCTGCAGGAAAGGTTTGTGTCATGCTTCACACACTGATTTGGTTTCCCTTTTGGATCTTTTTCATGTGAGAGAGAGAGAGAGAGAGTATGCCAAACCTGAATTTTACTTCACAGGTTTCACGACTTCTCTACACGAACTCCGGAGTGGGCTTATTAGCACTTGGGTCAAACGCAATTCAGAAATTATGGAAGTGGAGCCGAAGTGAGCAGAACCCAACAGGAAAGGTAACATTAATTTAAATGTATGTTGTGACTGTATTTTCCTATTAGTGTTAAAAACTATTTATTATATGTAGCTGTGAATTGGAATGGGATTACTGATGCAAGTGAAATTAAAGGCCACCGCCAGTGTTGTTCCACAGCACTGGCAGCCGAACAGTGGTCTTCTTATGAAAAATGATGTGTTAGATGTTAACCCTGAAGAGGCAGTCCCATGCATAGCCCTCTCCAAGAATGATTCGTATGTGATGTCAGCATCAGGTGGAAAGGTCTCATTGTTTAACATGATGACATTCAAGGTAACTTGCTGTCAGCATTGTTCAAATGGAAAGTATATTATAATCTACTAAATCATGGTAAAATCATAGTCCATTGGGTTGTCAATTGTCCATTGAAGTGATGGACTCTGATGAAATCTGTTACTCACCCGAAGGTGACATGACTAGTATGATGCCTCAAACTCTCTCTATCTCAGTCCATCATTTCAGCGAATGGTGATGACCCAGGGGACTGGTTTTCCACTTTCCATTGGAATATGGGCACTTTGTCTTTCTCAAGTTGCTTGTCTCTTTTGTCCATTATTCCATTTGATGTCATGGAATTTTTTTGTACTTCTTGTTGCAGGTGATGACAACATTCATGGCTCCTCCCCCTGCTTCAACTTTCTTAGCATTTCATCCCCAAGATAATAACATCATTGCCATTGGAATGGAGGATTCGACCATCCATATTTATAATGTCAGGACAGATGAGGTAATTATGGTTCAAGTGAAGTCAACGTTCGAAGGAAAGTATGCTACATTCCAATATAATACAAAAAAAACCATCTCCATTGGATCTTAACGATCCATTTAAGTGATGGTGGGAGATGGGGAACCCACTTTAGCGTTTCTGTCACTATTCTGGTGGATCCCGCCCACCCTCTCTCACAACTCATCACTTCAATGGTTGGTGATGACCCAATAGATTATGGATTTTCATATTCCATTAAATTATAGTATATTTTGCTTGTTCAAAAGCTACTGTGTAGTGGCTTGTGATGGATGATTGTGGTTATTTGCCAGGTGAAAACGAAATTAAAAGGTCACCAGAAGCGAATAACTGGTCTTGCTTTTTCCCACAGCCTTAACATCCTAGTCTCCTCAGGTGCTGATGCACAGGTGAGTTGCTGTTGTGCTGTATGCATATACATTTTCTGCTGGGTTGGCCTCTCATGTCAAATTGACATTTTCTATACTTTTTGGTGGTTAAACTGAAAGTCTTTCTGCACTAAAACTGATGTTTTCCCCTATCTACAATAGAAAACTAGGAGTCTTTCTTTCAGATTTTTCGTCTATAAGTTTCTTCATACAACAAAATTTGTTGTGAAATTACATCCAAATAGCTAAAGTCTTGGAGACTGAAAATGCTCCAAACATGTATAGCAACCCCCTTTTTTTGAAGTAAAGGTTAGCTTTTTTGTAAGTGTAAACAAGGAGTCAAGAATGGCATCCCACAAATCAGGCGCTTTATAGATCCCAAGAAATCATGCACTCTGTTAGTGCTCTACACATAAAAAATGTGGGATTGCTCCTGTGTAAAACCAAAAAGAACAGTAATCCAAAAGTGGGACCATCACTCAAACCAAAATGGTCCAACTGTCTCTCCCTGATGTAGCACTGTCTTTGGCTAGAGTTTCAGCTTTGGTGTTTGCCTCTTCCATGTATGCCGAAAGGAGTAATGTGTAAACCTGCACAGTTCGAATGTTTGGTCAGAAAGGTGTTCGAGTCACCATGGGCAAGGTGATGAACTTGATGTCTAGGAGATGACGTTACTTGGGGTCACCCTTGATCACAAGAAAGGTGCCCCAATCTTGGTTAAATCTTTTGATTAGAAGGGATATAGTTCCAGCCATTGTGGAGTCTTTGTGTCCGCTGAAACTCGAGAAGGAAAGGAGTGTGTTCCTGCGGTGGTCCCGGAATAGGCTCCCTGAGCTGGCTGGGCTACAGTTGCTGAGCAATCAACCATCCAAAATTAATTTGATATGACCTTCTTCAGGCAGTCATCATAGTGGGGGTCAAGATATAGTGGGCAGTCTTCCATCAAGCATTGCTGCAGTTAATGAGGAAGTCAGTGGTGGCATAGGTTTCAAAGGTTTTTGTGTTTTTTGCCTAGAAGATGACCAAAGCATTGGATACGATTCTTTGGGCTTGTGTTGATGTCTCTCTTACCTTTCAGAAATTCTGGTATTTCTCTCTTCCCACACCACCCCTATTGTAGCAGCCACTGCATCATGCCATAGGAATATGCCTGCAGTCGACGATGGGGGTCAGAGGAAAACCTAGAATATTTGAGGGGTTGACTGTAGAAGCACTAACGACCACTAGAAGTTTTATTGGAGGTTGGTACATAGTTTTTAGGCCACTTCGCATGTAGGAAGAGGCGTCATGGGGTTCTTCGGCTGGCTTGCACATAGCGTATATCGCGATTACCCTCTTGGAGATTGCAATCCAATTGAAGGCTTGTATTTTGACCACCTAGAGGGGGGTGGAGTGGGAAAGTGACTGCTGCTGAAGGCTGTGATAGGGGGAAGAATAGTAAACGTATTGGAGGGTGAAGAGCCCAAATCATCTTATGAGGTCTGATGCTGGGCAGGAAGGCCTTTTGCATTAGAGAGGACAATGTCTTGAAGTCAGTGAGTTCATGGTCTTGTAAGACTCTTCTGACATTTGGATACTCCACTGTTGTTTTGTCACAAATCTCGAAAGATTTTGCCACTGTGATTTTCTGATTGGACTCCAATGGGACAAGTGTGTGAAAACGAGCTTGGAGTGTGGAATTTCCAAGTCGACCCAAGATTAGACAAGCTTGCCCCTCCTTGCCCAGAAAGGAATATTCTCATGGAACTGTTTGTAGCTGGCTACAAGAAATTCCATGCCCCTGAGAATCCGGCAATGGTACTAAAGTTAAGTAGCCACCCTGAGGCCTCAATCTGGTTCTTATGCCGGGCATCAGTTTGCCACAGGTGATTCTCTTGAGCGGCAAACTGTCATCACCTTTTTCCAAGTAGAGCTATGTTGCAGCCTCAGAGACCATGAATACCCAGTCCTCTTTGAGATTTAGCTACGCAAATATTGTGCCATGCCACTAGGTGGAATATATGAGTCTCTTCTATTCCATACCACAGGAAGTTCCACATTCGATGCTCCAGTTGAGTTGCTATACATGCAGGCATTTGAAAAATGGACATTTTATATATAGGGAGGTTTGAGAGCTTGCTTTGAGGAGTGAATGGACCCACCAAGGGAGAGGAACCTACCTTTCCACACTGCAGATTTGCAATGGGGTCGAAAATTTACTTGCTCGGTTTCCTGATGTACACGGGTAAACCAAGATACCTGGTTGGCAGTGGCTGGACAACACAAGCCCAAACGTTTAGCCAGAGCATGGATGGTTTGGTTGGTGGTGATAGTTCCCATTATTTTTAAATTTGTCATGTTGAGTTTGAGTCCCATTGCTAGTTCGAGGCATCTCATCTTAAGAAAAGCCACAAGGTGCTGCTTGTTCTTGGGTTGCATCACAAAAAGGAGGGTGTTGTCGGTGTATTGAAGGTGAGATATGACCGGTTGTGATTTCCTAATCGAGCCATCAGAAGCCCTTAGTGATACAATCTTTCAATGAGTCTACTGAATACTTCCATGATTGTGGCAAAAAATAAAGATGGTGAAGGAGATACCCTTTACCTAGGCCTCTGGAGGAAGGGAAATGGCACTTGGGGTGGCCATTGAGGAGGCTTGAGAACTAAGTTGCTGAGACTGCAAAGCCTCCACTTTTCACCAAAGGCCATTTCTAAAAAAGTATCTCCTCTAGCATGGCCCGTTTTATATGATCATATGTTCTTTCCCAGAAAAGTTTAGGACCGCCCTGGGGATTTTTCGAGGTGTCTAGAGTGAATGAATTCGTGGGCCACAAAATCCACATTCAAGATTTGTCTTTAACAAAAAACCCCTGGTTTGGTGAAATGGCCCACTGCAACACCTCTCTCAAGCAAGAAGGAAGGACTTCAGAAAGAAGGTTATAGAAACTAATGAGCAAGCTAATTGGCCTGACGTCTTTGAGGTCCTCTGCCCCTTTGACCTTAGGTTGGAGGTTCATGAAGGTAACATTAATGGCTTCCTAAATTCTGTCTTTGTGGTGAAATTCATTGAAAAAGGAAAGTATGTTAGGGCTTATCATATTCCAAAATTGATTAAGGAGTGCTCCTGGGCAACTATTAAGGCCAGGGGTTTTGACCTGTCCAAGATCCTTGATTGCCTTGAGAATTTCCTCCTCTGAGAAGGGGCATTCAAGCCACAAAGCTCTCTCGCTTTGAAGGATTAGGGAGTCGAGATCTTTCATTGTTGATTGATGGTCCTCTGGATAGAGAAAAGTTTTCAAAAGAATCTGATGATTGGATTTTCAACTTCTTGGGGATGGCTGTATAGGGTAGGACCGACTTGATCTGGGTTATCGTATTGACCGATGCTTGCGATTGGAAATTTTGTGTAAAAAGCTACTACTTCAGTCTCCTAGCTTAAGCCATTTGACCCTAGAGTGTTCATAACAGAAGATTTCCTCTTCCTTGAGAATCTCATGTTAGCTGAGTTCTTATGTCTCTTTCTTCTTGGGTTTAAGACCCTAGTTTCCTCAATGGAGTCCAGATCAGTGATTCCTCTCAGGCTTCTTTTTTGAAAAAATGGTGACTAATATTAATGCATATATCAAATATGTTTGCAAAAACTCACAAGATGCAGGTGTAGGCAGCCCACATACTGGTTGCTCAGATCTGTACAGGCAAAAAAATCATATAACACACATCGAGTCTCATGAGATTGGAGAAATAATCGAGGTTTGGAAATAGTGAGTGGTGGTGTTAGGAGAGAGAGCGTAGAGAAGTCTAGCAGAGAGCGATAAGAAATGGGGTTATAGTGAGAGCATGGAGTGAGAAACAATAATATGTTTTTTTTGGGGGTGGGGGATGGTGGGCAGAGAGAGAGGGAGAGAGGAGGGTGAGAGAGCAGCAAGTGATTAAAAAATAGAGATGTACAACCCATGAGAGTTGTGAAGGAGCAGAAGGAAGACCTAGGAGAGAAAGATCACCTAAGTAAGGCATATCCCACAGACCGGGATTCAACCCCAAAAAATAAAAGCTGAAAAACTTCCAACAAATTGCAGCTGGCTTCTTTTCTTGTTCCAAAATTGCCTGGGAGCTGTTTGCTTCACTGTCTTTTTAAATTTTTTAGTTTTATTTTTTTTTGGGGGGGGGGGGGAGGGGGCGAAGGTTTGCGCCAGCTGTGGAGCTTCTTGCTCCACTGTTTGAAGAAGTTTTTAAAGAATTTGTAGCTTATTTTGAAGATGGAGACTGGCTCATCTGTGGATTGAGTAAGAGCTCACCACTTTGGGGCAAGGTTTAGAGAGTTTGGCTCCTTAAGCCATGACAGTTCAAGCCTAAATGGTCTCTTGCTCTCAGAACCCGAGTAAGTGTCTAGAAGGTTAGGTATGCGATATGAAACAGGTTTTGGAAGGTGAAGCAGTGGGAACTAGAGGATTGGTTGTCCCCGTTCAGTGGAGAAGAAACTGTCCAGTATTGAGAGGGTGAGGCAGGCTGAGTGGTTCTACCAATTGAAGTCAGACCCATTGAGTGGAATGAGACAGTTTATATAGATAAATCTGAGAAATGATACATGCCGGTGGTGACCCTACTAATTTTGCTTTTCTCAAGGGAACATCTAGTAACATTGCAATTGCCGCTGATGTGCCATGGAACGGATGACATGGAAGTGAACTCTGTCCAGCTCCTCCCATATTTGGCTCCTTGATGGGGTTCTATTGGGGCCGTGTGCCATAGTGAATTTCCAGGCAAGGCCATATGAGATTCTTTAGAGGCATACAATAGCTAAGAACGATGCAGCTATGGAATTTGTGCTGGAATTAAGGGTAGGGTCCCAAACGACCCAGAAGCCACAGGATGCACCTGTTGCTTCAAAGGCAACCCATTGGCATCTTCTGCAGCCCTAAATTTCCAGACAATTGAAAGGGAGGGGGATTTGTGACTTAGATTCGTTCACAACTAGAATGTTGGGAAAAATTTATTGCAAAAGGCAAGCAGGGACTTTTTTATCAAGGTCGCTCAAACCCTAACGCTCCACCCCGGTAGTTTCATAGGGAAATGTTTGAGGAGGAGGAAGCCACACATCTCTAAGAGCACCTAGGAAGCTAGCTGATTGAGGGGAAGGGACCAGGAAAAGGATTGGAGGAAGAGCTTGGAACTGCCTTTTCGTATCTAATACGATGTGGAAGGTTATCAAGTTCTCTAACTATTTTCCTTTTAGTCACTGATGTCCGTTTCCTGCCTGTCATAGTTCAGACCTATAGCCTTGAGCAGTTTGTGGATATCTCCCTGGGCATTATTGATCATGTCTATTTCCTGAGAGCTTGTCAAATTGGATGATTCCCTACCCTAGTACTCTGAAGAATCAAAGCAAGGGTAATGGGTGTAATATCTGAGACACGGGCCTTTCACTATTGAGGGAGATTGGGGTAGGCTTCCTCTCCATAACAGGAGATAGCTATCTGCCTTTGGGGGAGTTGGGTTGTTGAAATCGACCAATTGATAAAGCCTTCTGATCAGTGTTAATAATGGGTTGGGATAGGGGATGGGGAAGAGAGGATCTGGGGCTCGTTCATGTTTGAGGGTGTCAAAAGCTTGGAAGTGTGCCCCTGGTGGGGGTGAAAGCATTGTATGGCGGTTGGAGATTCGTCTCTGATTGCAAAGATGAGCATGAAACGTGGTGGGAGAAGATGCAGTATTGAAAGTAGTGGGGTGTGGGGGAGAGTAGGCTAGAAGCAGTGAAGACATTGGGTGCTGTGATGGGAGGGGCTGGCAGAGGCAAGGATGGCAGCACCACCTGTGCCCCAGCTAAGGTCAAGGCTTCCATTCTCACCTAACGCATTAAAAAACCGCTAACGGTTTAAAAAACGGGTAGGGGCTCATCATCCCCACTGAATTACCCAAAAAAAAAAAAGGAAAGTGGGGAGAGGGGAAGGAGAACAGAGGTGGTGGAAGGGGGTGATGTGTGCATAGGGAAGAGGAAGTAGAAAGTGGAAGGGGTAAAGGTTTTGGGTTTTTGTTATTGTGGTTCTCTGTGATGGTGAGAGAGAGATACTGGAACCAGGGGCTGGTTTGGGGAAGTGTTGGGTAGAGGACCTGCTTGGGAAACTGTGGAAGGTGGGCCAAGGTTTGCTATATGTATGGTGATGAAAAGAGCTGGTTTACATGTCTGGTTTGGGTTGTTGGATTAGGGATTAGGATGTCCAAGTGTAGGTGTCATGTCAATGCATCCTTGCGTGGGCATTTAGGAATCACTGTATAAAGGGGATTGCATGTTGGGTATGTCGGTGCATTCAGGCACATGTGGGTGGGGTTGTGTCGTGAAATAAGGGCACTGGGGGTTGGCATGTTGAGATTCGTGGGAGGGAGGAGGTCCATGTGTCCTGAGTCCCGACTGGTGGTGGTATGGCTGATGATGTGGGGCCCAGTGGTAGCATTGGTGGATGTGGTTCACATGACGGAATGGGGAGGACCAAGTCCCAAAAAGTGGGAGAGTTTTTGCTTATGGGATGGAGTGCGATTGTGTTACTGATGGTACTGATATTGTCTGGGAGGGGTTTTTGGGGTAAAATGGAGGTTCATTGGATAGGACATTGGATGGTTGAGACGGGATTTACTTTTTGGTTGCTTGTCCCATAAGGTGACCCACTCTATGTTTGAATTCAATGGGCCATTTGAATTTGAAAATATATTAGAGCTGTTGTGGTTCCACATGGATTGTGGTACAGCCTCCTAAGGCTACACGTGCGAATTATGGTGATTTTAGTGCGATCCACTGTATGTTGTGTGGGACTAGGATGATGTTTCCAGAATAAGGTTCCTCTTTGGATCAGCAGTTGGATCCGTTGGCTGGTTGATCTGGGGCATTGAGCGAGAGGGAGTAGAGTGCATACCCAAACTTGACCGTAGGCTTTCAAAGGAATTGGGAACTATTGTAGATTTCTCTCTCCACATATGGCCTGTCAATTAGGCCGTTCCATTGGAGCATCTACTATATTGGCTCCTTTGGCATTTCGTATTCCATATCACCATGATCCAGCCTTCTTCCTGGTGTATGGAGCCCTTTCTAGAACTAGTGTGGTCCATTTCGTGCTGCTTGCAATGGCCATTGTGGTTTGAAGCAGGCAGGGTATGCGAATCAGGAAGTATTGGTACTGATGGAGATCTATATTTTTGTTGGGATTGAGCCAGGTTCCAAGGATTCCACCAGCATTTGGATAGAGCCCAATGGGGGGAAGGTGGTGGATTTCCAGTGTCCTGAGGAAACCCCCACAGTGGTCTCCACTGTGCTTGAAGGTTTGTGGGTGCCAAGCATGTAATGGGCTTTCACTGCCAAAATCCATACCTTTTGTTTATGGTGTCTACTTAGATTCTGAGACCAAGGGGAGAGAATCTCTGTTGAATTGGAGGTGTTTCGTTTAGAGGGTGGATTGAGCGCCTGCTACAAAAGGAAAAGTAAAAAGGATAGCTCCCCCAAGTATACCTCGGCAACCTAAGTTAGGTTGTTTGGTATCTTCTTACCCTATTTTTTAATTTTTCTGATGTTGCGTCTCTTGGGATTGAACATACCTTAGAGGGGCCCTTGTAGGCTTTATAGGCCCTTTGAAATGAAGCTTCTGTCCAAATTTATAAATATATGGTATCGTGGTTAGTGGCCTTGTTATCCTTGTATATGGTTGGTACAGTTTGGGGTTAATGTTGGGTAGGTGGAGGTGGAAGCACAGTGTTGGTTGTTTGGCGGACATCCCTTCTTCAGCTGGAAAGGGTTTTGGTGATGGGGAATGGTCTTATCAGGTGAACGTAGTTCTCATATAGTTTAGGTATGGATGGGTTGGGGGGATTGTAAGTGGCTTAGGTTGAGTGGTATTAGTCATGGGTAAGGTTTCTGGGGTTCATTACAAGCAAGGAGGGTCTGAAGATACAGTCTTGGTTGGCAGAGACAGAGGGAAGGGGAGAGGAGGCTAAGCTTCAGGCTCTCAGATGAGAAAGAGAACTGGAGAGAATCAATCGCTCGTTCCTTCTCCCATAAATTTCACTCCTGTAAACCTTTTTCTCCTAGTAACCTCACAAATGCATCTAATGTGCACATCAAGTTGTGCCAAAGCACACAAAAAACACAAACATATTAGTATGCCAACCTTGCATATCACAACACTCTAAATTTTGGGAAGTTCAGTGTGTAGATTTGGTTGGGGCCTAAGTTGCATGTATGCTTTTGTGGCTTTAGAGTAGTGTATCAATTGGAGATGAATCTGATATTCACATGGATACTAAAGTATGATGCAAATGTTCTTAAACTATGCCAAAAACTTGTTATGTTCTCTCTATAATGTAAGAAAATATAATTTTAAGATAATGAAGATACATATCACATTTTTATGTTGTACACTGTAGCTGCATATTATGTGTTAATACATGTATTCATACATACATGTAAAGGGCTTGTGTAATATGATCCGTATGATCGTAGCCTCATGACCATGAGGTTGTTGCTATCCTAAGAATGAGTTTGACAGTGATGGATGCGAGAGGTCTCTCCATCAGTGTCCAATCCATTGTTCTTGGACAGCTATAATCCACATTGTCATGGTAGTTTATTTTTGACCATGTGGATGACATTATATTTTTCCTATATACATATATCATGTCAGATAGGATGCTTGTCCTCATATAATAGGCTGGACCTGTCCCAGATTGTTCTTGGTCCACATTCACGAAGTTTACTGCAACTTGTGGATCAACTTTACAGTTATCTAAAGCAAGAATTTCAATGTTAATGGCTGTGTTCATTCTCCATGTGAAGAAAAAATACTTGCAGATAGACTAGTGAATATTTGTATGTAGCTGGGGATAATTTTCTGGCCTAAGAAGGGTGAGGACCTTAAACTTTCTCTTAATCCGTTTCATACCCGCGTAAAGGGGCTGGGTTGTATTAGGTTGGCACCCAACATAAGATTTTGCCAAAACTTATCATGAGCTGGGGATAATTTTCCCTAAAATCCGATCTATTATGTCCTTTATGTTTTTCTCTTTTGCAATATGGGGAACACACAGGATGACTCATGTTCTCTATTGCCAGCGATCCTCGGTAAATGCATGCTTTACTTCCAATTTCTTTCTTTGCAACTTCTGTTGAGTCTGGTTCTCTCAAGACTGAAACAAAAGAGCGTAGAGAATCACGAGAGGGTAAAAAGGGAAAGCATAGCGGTAGATGTGAATACAACTCAATGATGACTACAACAACAATATTGATACAACAATAATGATAATACAAAAGTGAACTTATTAAAAAAAATGATAATAATGGTAACAATAGAAGTGTTATAATGGAAGGGTCTTGGCAAGCAAAACCTGTCCACCAAAAAGAAGCTTGCCCCAGCTATAAAGGATCAATTATCTTTATGAACATCTTGGCAAAGGTGCTTGTTTCTTGGTGGCGTGCAATTAGGTTCTAATATTGGTACTAGTGACCATTTTAACTATTCTTCTGTGCAGATTTGCGTGTGGAATACAGATCATTGGGACAAAAGGAAATCAATCACAATCCAGATGCCAACAGGGAAGGCACCTTCTGGAGACACTCGTGTTCAATTCCACTCTGACCAAATCCGCTTGTTGGTCTTTCATGAGACACAGCTTGCTATTTATGATGCATTGAAGCTGGAGCGTGTTCGCCAGGTAATGAACTCAAGTCCAATTGTGCTCAGATTTTTCTCTCTCACATAAAATGGAAAGAACTACAACGCTACCAGTTCAAAATATGATTTAAACGCTGAAGTACATAGTGCTAAAAATATGTCACAAACTATGGTCTGGACATTTATCAAATACCCACCCACCCCACCAGCATCATCCGTACCTTGGAACTTGCTTCTGTGCGTAGTCTGTGTAGCCTCTTTTTTTTCTTTGCTTTGTGTAGTTGGTATCCTCCCTCTCTCTCTCTTTCTCTCTCTCTCCCTCTCTCTCTATATATATATATATATGAGAGAGAGAGAGAGAGAGAGAGAGAGAGAGAGAGATCGCCTACCTACCTACTACTTACCTAACTT